TTTTTACACGGAACCAGGACAAGATGTTACCCAAATCATCCTCTCACAGCTTTTGTTGTATTTCTCCAATGGATTTGTACAGCATCCAATTTGAAGGAGATATAAACCAATGGTCTAGAAGAAGTAAGAGAAGAAACATGGCTGACTTGTTCCCAACTCCCCAGGTTTACATTTACTCTGTTCCATTCTGGAGGACATCTAGGCCTTACTATTGAATAAAATCACCTGCCTTTGAAGAGGAAAAGTGCTGAGCTTTTCAACTGCTCATTGCCATTCTAATGACAGACCACTGAATGCTACAGTTCACAGAAATCAGAATCGTGTCAAAGCAAATCTCACAGGTAGTTTCTCCTGGAGTGGAGAATCCTCATTTCAGATATGAGTCCTCTAGGGAACTTTTTAAGCAGTGTGAAAAACCTGAAGATAGATTTTTGTGTTGTTATACTGCATACAGTAAGTGTATGTTTGAGCAGAAGAAAGCAATCAATAACTTTAAAATACATTTGGAAAGGGGGGAGGAGTGGAAAAACTCCTCAACAGCTGATTATCTTAACATCAAAAAGGGGGAAAAAAAAAAAAAAAAAATCTCCTGCCAACACAATTTTTAAGCTGCATTGTTACTGACAATCAGCAGCTTGGATGTTTTGCTGTGTTTGCGTTTTAAGCAACATTTCTTCTCCCTGAGGTTCAAAGCCTGAACAACATCCCAGCCATTCAGCAGTGCTTCTACAGCCACTATCAGCTTTGCTGCCTGAACTGCAGGCCAGCCTGGCCTTCCAGCCTAGAGACCAACTTAGTTAAGGTTGCAAAAGGCAAATAACAATCATCTTTTCTTCCAAGGATGACAAGCAGGCTTACCAGCCAGCCTGGCCAGGAAGACTCCGGGCCCAAGAATGAAGAAAACAAGCAACGAATTAGGCAAACCAAATACAAACAGCCTAAGCTGCTACATGGACACAGTGATGAGCACAAGCCGAAGTCCCAGCCCCTGCCTCTGCATCCACACCTCACACCAAGCCCTGCTGAGCACAGCTTAGGAGCTACTCAGTTACCTTTAAAACACTGGTTAGAAGGAAAGCTCACATACAATACTTTCCACCTCTCCCCATGCTTCCACCTTCTCAATGTTTATCATCTGACTCCTATAACACTGAACTAGTTACAGGAAGTACCAGTAACACTAACCATTCCCAGTGCCCGTCTCTCTTTGGTCCAGTAGGTTCTCTAGACAGCTGCAATACATGAAAGAGCATCCAACACATCTGAGACCAAAGAAGTGAAGGATGTGACTACACATATGGAGTGAACAGGTATGATGATGATCTCCATCTACCTCCAGAGACAGCTGCATGAGAGACAGCCTGAGTGTGGCTTCTGGACTGAAGCTAATTCACAGTCCTGCTTTCATCAGACAAGGGCTGTGAATATCCACATGACTTCTAAGCAACCTTGTGCCAATGCACATGTAACTGTAACATGCTCCTGGTGGATATATGACTGCAAACACAAGATCATACATGACTGTCATCCATAAAACGTGAGGCCACCTGTTTGCAGGCTGCTTCTTTTTCTAGACACCATTTGGAAAGATGTTTCATGAGGGGTCCAACACAATCTGACCTTACATGCCTGTGGTGTCAACTTGATTCCTAGTACATGAAGATAAAAAACAGGGCAACAGAGTTGCTTCCTCCATCAGGACTCAGAAAGGGATGCACCAGAAACTGTCATCTCTGGGAATATCCTCTGCCTGCACTGTTCTCCTTTACTGTAGCAGAGCAACTTCCACAGGCCTAGAATAAGGCATTCAGAATATCTGCTGGACTACCCCTCCAACCACAACAGTGGTGACAAATACAACCCAGTTTGGAAAGGGAATAATACAAGACTTGTCTGCTCTAATAGAGGTTACAGAAAATCCTCTCCTCTTCTCTCTCTACCTGGAAACCTGGAATAGATTCTGTTCATCTGTAGTACACATGAACACAAAGCCAGATGTGCCTAAACTGCCTATTCTAGTCTTCAAGCTGGCAGCTGTGGGAGTATAGAGGCCACCCTCCATTCAAAAGCACAATTGTATTTACATGGCACTACATGGCTATAACTTTAACTCCAGCTTGGCAAGCCTGCACAGTGCTAATGTCCTGACAGATCAAATCATATTGGGATTTCCCCGTATAGGGCAGCCTGATTTGCAAAGTATAGGCATATCCAGAGACTGCTACATCCTCTAGCTGCAACTCACATTTACACCTAAAAGCCACTCAGCTGGGTGCACTTACAGCTATTGGAAGATGCATGGCAACTCGGCTGTTTCTCTCCCTGACACATTCAAAGCACTGTCACAGCTAGCAGAAATAGCCTATGTGTAGGGTGTAGCTGGAGAAGCTGGCAAATTTGCTGTTGTTCTTCCTCTAGCTTTGCAATTCCCACAATTCTGGCATTGATTTCCCAAGAGATTCATACAAAAACTTTTTCATAACCTATGAGATAGGAAGAAAGAGGCAGGAAAACTCAGCAGCTTCAGAAAACCATATTAAAAAAAAAAAAAGTCTGTGGCATCTAGCATTTTGAAATCTGACAATTTCCATGGTATTCTATCAAGCCTTGATTACCAAGTCTCACAACACCATTAAGCATATTGCCATGCCAGACCGACTAGGCTGGGCATTGCAGAAGCCCAGATCTCAGGGTACTGCTCAAGGCAGACTAATTGCAAAGAAACAGGGATGTGTCCTCTGAGATGCAGTTCACATCTGCCTGAAAAAGCCTGAAAAAAAGGTCATAGCATCCTATGTCAGAAACACAAGGGTAGTGCAACATGTTAGTCAGGGAGACTACAAGCTGTTCTGCTTCACACAAATCAGCAGTGACCCTGTGGGTTTTGGCAAACTGCCTAAGTTTGGGTAGCTTGGCACAGATACATCAAGCAAAGAGCAACAGCAGATGACTTTTTAATTTTAATTAGACAGAGGACTAATGTTTTTAAATGCAACCCAGTGTCATCTTTGAAGAACAAGACTGCTGAACAGAAATTTCTTTGCCTTCCATTAAATGATGGCAACAAAGTGACTGATTAATTATGAAAAATACCTTTTGAAAGCCCTGTGGGTGTAGCAGAGATAGTTGGATGGTGACTAATTTTCCAAATCATTCAATATCTGTAATTTGGATTTAAAATGAGATGAAAACAAATTGCCAGACTGTCTGATCCTCCTTTGTAAGGAACAAGTAGCTAAGTGAAATCCTATCCTAAAATCCACCATGTTCAAGCACTTTGTTCTGTGCCAGAGCCACTATCACCAACAGTCCTGCAGAAGCTGCTTTGTTTCAAGACAATAGTCACTCAAGCCTAAGAGGTTAATAATGTGATTCAACAAATGCACAGTTAGTTTAAGAGAGTCCTTGTCATTTATGCATTTCAAACACATCAGTTTAATCAGATCTAACTGGAAAGCAATGACAGCAGAGCTGCACACTCACAAGTGACAATAGCAGCAAGGCTTCTAGCACGTTCAGGCTAGATGAGGCTCTGAGTAGCTAGATCTAGTTAGAGATGTCCCTACATATGGCAGGTGGGGGTTGGACTACATGCCTTTGAAGGTCCCAAGAATTTACAGCCAGACATTCTATGATTCACTGTGCAGTTGGGGATATTCTGTTTTAAGATTTCCTAGGCCTCCTCTTTCCTCTACTAATCATCAGCTCCATTGAAGGCAGAAACAAAACTGCCACTGATCTGCTTTAGGACAGTACCTCAGAGCAACCTTCTTTTATTATAACGTCTTCAAAGGTTGTTGACAGAAGTTCACACTGACTAGAAACACCAAGGAAACAGTATCCATGTACTTACTTAGCAACTGCATTTATATACAAATAAACACATCCCCCCTCTTTATACATTACCCACGCACCTGGCACATGGTTAATTCCACAGTCTATTACAATTGCTCCAGGTTTGATCCATTCACCTTTCACCATTTCAGCTTTACCAGCTGCAACCACCAGGATATCAGCTTTACCAACCTATGGAGAAAAGCCAAACAATTCTGTATCACACCAGCAGTGCAAAAAAGGCAGAGCTGCTTCAGCAGCAACTCTGATCACCTTCAATTGCAGTGAAAATGTGTGCTCACCCGTTGCCACGGGGGATGGAAGGACACTGGCAGCAATTAAAGGTAGCTGGCACTTCCTTGGCAAGGATAAATTCCTGCACCCAGAAATAATGGCCCATTTTCCACACTCCTAACCTGAACTACTGCTAGTCAACACTTCATAACCTCCTTTGAACTCCTCCATGATTCCTAAGTGGATCATATAATTAATTTTAGATAAAATTAAAGCCTTCTGCATATTCTTATCTCTCTCCCTGCATATTCAGCTGCTCTTTCCAACAGTAGAAATACACCAGCACTCAGACAGCAGCCAAGAACAACGCCAGCACAGAGCTCCAAGCAGCACTTCACTTGTGGCAGCACTGTCTTGTGGTTTTATGTCCAGGACTGTGTAACATGTAACTCCAGGGAAAGCTGACTAATATTATTCAGCACGAATATTTGTTCAGACAGCACTCAGCAAATTTGACAGGTCTGGTCACAAAGCTGGTGCTAGAGACTGACTGAAGCTTCTTGTCAGTTCTTGCACTGCTTCATTCACACTTGCTTAAGAAGCTGCTACCCCTTGGATTTTTTCCTTTTAATCTTCAAGAAAGATAAACTAAATTTAATTAAGAATTAGCACTTCAATTGTTAATCAACCTAATGATAGTTTTATTGAACAGCAACTTAATGGCATGAAGCACTGCAGTGTTTCTGATCATCTTTGTGAGTTATATTCAAATACACCTACCCCCTTTTCAGCTTTCATACTTTCCTACAGAGCCTGGCAGTGTTGATTGCTCTATGAAATCCAAGTAGGTGGCAGCACAGCAACACACTATTTCTGTCGCTCTCACTGCTAAAGAGGAAACTGGTACCAACTCCCAGTCATAGAAAATAAGACTGGGAAAAAAAAAAAAATCAAAACCGAACAAAACACATGGTCTAGCATTACCCAGCCACTAAAACAAAAGACCACTTGACCTTTTTGGAAAAAAACTAAAAACATATGCTGTCTTACAGGCCACTACATGGAGATCAGGAAGGGATGATTAAATTCTCAGCACTTGCCAAAACAAAACAAACCCAGTAATTTTATTGTTATAATTAAAACCCTCTAATTAAGGACCAAAAATAATCAGGATCTTATTCCAGTGGAAGTATTTACACAGCCATGCAACGAACTGGTTGAAAGTTGAAAGGACTGAGAAACCATTTCAGATGAAAGACAAGCCAGACCAGAGGACTCAGGGAAGCAACACAACGAGTAGCACAGTGCAGCAGGCAGCACTGGCTTGCAACAGGTAACCACAGCCTCATGCATCCTGCCTGTCCTTACCTCCTCAGCCAGCGTTGAGGTCTTGGAATGGCAAGTGGTGACTGTTGCATGATTCCAGAGCAGGAGGTCATGCATGGGAGCACCAACAATCTTACTGCGACCAACCACTACAGCTCTTTTCCCTGCAACCTGGACACCTGCATCATAAAGTTTGAAGAAAGTAAAAAACAGGTCATTGAGTGAGTTTGCACCAAAATGCACAAGTGGCTCTGGAGTCTTTTGTCAGTTTAAGTCTGGCTTTGGTACTTCAGGACACTGTTTTTTCTTCTGAGTTGTGTGCAATAGGAAATCAGAGCTGGGAGCTAGAATGTAAAGACCATTTTGAAACTAGTTCTTTTATTCTCTGAAAAGGCAGAGATGAAACACAGTATTGCAACACAAGTTTCAATGTGAAGCACACCCTTGCAATGTGCATAACTTCTCCTCTTATTGAGGACTACTGCATTCACAAGTAAAGGATGGAAATCTCCTTACCTGTTTGTCTGATAAGTTCCATGCATCCTTTTGGTGTACAGGGAATAAAACAGTCTCCAAGGTCCCCTCTAGAGAGTTTCCCAGCATTGATGCTACTTAGGCTGTATTTTGAAAGAACAAAAGGACAAGTAAGATTCCCAGCCTCATGATCACCACTCAAACAAAAACAAAAAGTTTAAGAGGTTTCGTTCTGGAGTAGATGTCGTGCACTCCAGGGGTGAAGTCAGTTTACCCATCTACATCCTTTTCAGGTGCAACAGCATTGGTTATTTTTTCTGTATCGATGGGCTTGTCAGAGTCAAGTGGCAGCTGCACTATAAATCCGTGAACAGCAGGGTCTCCATTCAGAGAGGCAATGCACTTGAGGACCTACAACAAGTAAAGACCAAAAACCTAAGGGCTGATAAAATGACATATGATTGATGCAAAGGAAAAAGCATAATCCTATCTGGATTAAAAGATATGCACAATAGGTTTATTTTTTTCACTCAAGAGTATAAATTACACACATTTATTTTTAGAAAAATACCTGGTAAAGTTTAAGTTTTACACTGTAGTGTTTTAGTTTTCTTTTAAAAAAACCCGCAGTGGGTTCCAGTCCTTTTTTCATGACTTTATAAGAAGATTGTTTAGATATAAAACAAGAGGGCAAATCTAAGTTCATCTTTTGAGCTCAAAATCAAAGTTACATATATTTTCACTACTGGCTAATTTACTTACATCAGCTTCTGTTGCTGTGTTTGGCAGCTTTATGTGATTGGCACTGATCCCAATCTGCAAATGAGAATACCAACAATACCTGATTTCTGAACTGACATCTTATCAGCTTGATCTGGCTATTTTCCGAGTCCAGCTCAGTCACAGCTACATTCTGCCATATTTCCTAGGTCTCTCTCTTTTTTTTTGTAGTTAGTCCTCTATTATTTGGGAATATCACCAATGAAAGAGAAGACAATAGATCAGTGCTTCGCCTACTTAGATTGCTCCACACTTCAACTGTTCTGTTCACCTTTTGACATCAACATCATCTTGGCATGACAGCCTACTGCCTTGACATGCTAGCAGAGAAGATGCCAGGTATGACCTAGGGACAGAGGGGGGGAAAGAGGGGCTCCTCTACGTTCCTACCCTGCTGTAGCATGTCATGTACCACTTGGTGACGGATGTAAGGCACCTGCAGCTACAAGACATTCAGGGAAGACAAGTACATGGCCACGGGCGGGGAAAGACAGAACATCAGCACTTCAGACACAAATAAACTAGAAGATGATCACCCAAAAATAGTACCAGCCTACACTGCTGTTTATCAGAGCACCCCAATGGGCTGTCACGCTCCATGCTTGTACTACTCCCTATAACAAGCAACTCAGACTAACATGGGGTCCTCCAATATGGACAAAGTTTTGTCTAAACTATTTGATTTGCATCCATTTTTCAATATTCAGATTTGACCTACTGTAGGAGGCTAAAAAGAAACAGGAAGAGTTCGTGCATTACCTCAGCAGCAGCCTTCAGCTTCATGTTAATGTAGAGGTTCGAATCATCCCGATTTCCAACCTAAGGGGGAAAACACAGTTAACTCACACTGCAGAGTAGAGACCCAGCCACAGGCTGAGATAGCCTGAACCCTTGGCTTTGAGCTACACCAAGGAGGCAGAGGTATTCCTGAATACCAGTAAAACACACAGATAGGGGCTGTAAGCAGCTGGAACTAACAAGAAAAGTGTTCTTTCAAGTAAGAGGCAGGTAAAACCAAACTGTCAGATCTCCTGCATAAGCATCATTTACACCTGTTAAAAAACCTTAAAAACAATGTCCTGAAAGCAGAAAATACTGCTTGCCATCTCATCTGAGAAAGTTAAATCTCTAGCTAATTAACAGGATCAGCAGGTGCTGATAACATCCAATTATCTGATTAAGGCTTTCAGAAAAGTTGGGCCTCTGATACCCAGGAATCTTAATTTCATGCACATACATGTGCCTTGATGGAGAAATTTCTTCCACTGCTCTTTTGTATCTTGAGAATTTTCCTGCCAAAGAAAAAAACAACAAAACAAGAACAAAGTGATGCACAAAGAGAAAGCACCAAGCGGAACAAATGCCTGTAGTTTTTGGCAGTATTGGGTCATTATACTACAACTGCATTTCAGAAGACTGCTTGCAACATACACTATGTTTTGTTAAAGATAATACTCTTTGCAACCCTAAGAAAATGAGGGACAAATAAGGAAAAGCTGACAAGTAAACTCTTTTTCTCTGGTATTTGGGATCAACCCCTGATTCTCTCACAGATTACAAACTGCAGGGGTGACTGCCTTGCCTTATCACTCAGCATACATTAATAATTCTTCCCTACGGTTAGACAAAGGGGCTGTCTGCCCTTTAAAGTCTGCTGGGTTTAGGAAAAGTGTGTCTCTCATAGGGCAGAAAAGAAGAGAGCAGGCAGCATGGTATGTCAGCAAGCAGACTACACACATTGTGCAAAAGAGGACATTCCTGACTGCAAGAGAAAAAGACTGACTTACTCCAAGCTCAGAGGACACCATATACCTTGCAAGAAAAAAAGCACACACTGTGTGGGGTGCTACCTATCAGAAACAGCTAGTTGTCCCGACTTAATTGAAAAAACAGCTGAAAATATCAGTATTAGGAGGTGAATCCCAAGGCCAGACTGACACTTTTGTAAGCCAGCAAGCAGAGAGTCAAAGAGCAAATACATTGTAAGGAACTCTGAGGCAACCCAGGATTGAAGAGAGCCAAGAAAAAAAAAAAAAAAACCAAACAAGAAAAAAACCCAAACCAGTAACACTACAAGACAGGAGTTTTTGAAGACAGTTTACAAAGTCAGCAGTTGGGCAACTTCCATCAAAGTGTCCTTTGCTAAATTTTCAACAAAAGACCTTCCTCCTTCCTTCTAAAAACCTGAAGACAAGTCTTCTGTAGAGATGATCTTCTTAAAGCTAATGACAAAGAAAACTAGAAAACAAAATAAGCCACAAAAAAGGTTGCTGCTGGTACTGAAGAGGAGCATAGTCTTTGTGTACTATAGTGGTCTTAGCACTGGAAGCCAAGGGCAGGCACCAAGAGCTCTTCAGGAGCCCAGAATACTGAATAAGAATAGAAGCTACTTCTCCAAGCAGCCACTTCCAGTCCATCAATCCTCTGTGACCACACAGTTCCTTCCTGTTACATGACACTTGCTACTGCCAGTCACCTTCTGACCTAAACAAAGAATTTCCATTATTTATAGCTGCGAGAAGAGAAAAACCTAACAACTAAAAAAAACCCCAACGAAGTCTTATTCCTACCCAACACAGACCAAACCTCTGTACTTAGGCATGCTCTTTTCCTCTGCAAGTTTTTCTGTGTGGACTTCAGCACTCACACTTGTGACAGACAAATTCAGCAATGGGATTTTGTTCCATCCCCTGCGCTCAAAAGTCTTTTTGGCCAAAGGTGGCTTTGGTTGGGTTTCCCAACCTCCTCACACTCATTGTCTCTCCATGTTCTGACCTAACAGCAGACCAAATCCCTCAGTAAGCACTCCATTTGAAAGATTTCAAATACAAATACTCCTCTGCAAGCCAACAGGCTTCGGGGCTCGCACAAATGCAAAGGCTTGGAATAGAGCACTGCTGCTTCTTACTAGGCAAATAGACTACTTTGAGCATTGCACAAACATGATGTTCAGAGAACTGCAAAGGTCTGATGAAAGAGGAAAAAAACACCAACCCAAAACCCTCAAAATGTTTCTGGGCACCAGTACTTGGGAAAAAGGCACCACAGGACTGTTAGCATCCCACAGGGAAGTCTGCTCTTCTGTTCCTTATAAAGTGTTACCACTTGTAAGTCAGCTTTGGTGAAGCTCAGCACCATGCACTTACCATTGTAAAGCAACACAGATTGTCTGTAGTTCTCCTTAAAGCAAACAATACCTGCAAAATTGCGAGTCCTGGTCTGAAGCCTGGAAACTTCTCTTTCATCTCAATAACTTGGTTCTTTAGTCTCTCTCTTACTTGTCTGAAGAGGGAAAAGCAAAAACAAAGCAGAAGTTAACCAAGGTGCTGAATCCTCATACACTGATTAAGTCAGAGGTTGAAAAGATGACAGAGGGACAGATTGGCAAATACGTACTTATACCTTGAGTACACAAGTCCCAGTAATCTCCAAATAAGATTAAGGTCCATAAATCACCAAGAGACTTTGGAAGTTTTAATTAAAACTCCCCCCCCCCCTTTTTTTAAAAAAAATCCTTATTGTCCTTCTCCCTCTTTTTCATGGTCTCATAGGATGCAAGGTATAAAAAAAGTACAAAATTTTGCATGGAAAATTCTGGAATTTCAAACTCCCTACTCAAAAGCAAATCTTCTTTCCACATATGCCATGCCAAATCTACCTGTCTTCCATAGGCACCAGCCAACACTGTCACATGTGCTGCCCTGGTAAAGGATCATGATTCAACAGTGATAAAACTCTGGAAAACAGCCACACAAACAGTAGGTACCCAAAGATACCTCTTCTAGAGTTGGTCAGTACTACAGGTTTCTATTTCCCCCTGCTTGGCCTAACCCAGGCTGGGCAGGCTGCAGTCCTACACTCACCCTCCTACCTCCTGCCTGCGTCTGCGCTGGCCAACACGCACGTAAGAAAATGCCCCCAGACCAAGGGCTTCCAAACAAAGCAAAGATTTTTCCATGGGAACAGGAAGGAGAATGGGAGGTGGATGGAGGTGAAGCAGTAAGGAAAATCAGCTGAAGCCTGGTATATAGCTCAGGTCATCTCTTCAGTGAAGTTTAAGAATACGCTTATGAAAACAAAACTTTGAAATGGATCCATGACAGTATTCACTGATTAGTTTATCTACCTCAGATGTCAACTCATATCCAGTTTACTAGGCAATGTTTTAGAGATAATGAGTACTCATTACTGATAAATTAACTGCAGATGGCTCAAAAGCCAGTGTCACCACCCTCCCTTGGCCTCACACTCTTCCATTTCTCAGTCACTGTCTGGCTTCACACGTGTGATCCTTCACCATGGAAGATGGTGAGGAAGAGCTCCTAGTGCCAGGACCAACGTGCTCTTTCAGATTTGAAATTCTGACAAAAGCCTGGGTGCAGCCCCAGCACCACTGCTCTGTCTCCTCACCAGAGGCAGTCGGGGTTTAGGCAGAACCGACCAGTTGTGCCCAAAGCAGAGGAAGGAGGCTGTGGCACTTCACTACAAATGTAGGGGATACTCAGAGCAAAAGCCAGGTAAGCAAACCTTACAGAACCCTAGAGACTTGACAGGTCTATCCTCCTTCACATGATCTCCAGCCTGTGTCCCACCCACTATTCTCAGAGAGGAGAAGGTGCTACCATCACACTTATCACGTCTGCCCTGCTCCAAAAGCCCTACTATTGAAAACACAGATGGTCTCCTTGTGCTCATCTGCCCTCAAATCCATATCACAAGGTCTGCTACTTCCCAAGTGGCACCAGACCTCCTAGACTGGATGAGGTACTGTTTGTGCCAGTTCATTAAGAATGTGAACAGCAAGGTGACAGGGGCAGAGTAAGTAGCTGATGCCAGCTGGGAGGCTGTGATTGCCACCATACAGGGAGACTCCAAGACAACAGATAGCCAGTGAAGCTGACTCTACCCTGCAACTATGAGCTCCAAATCAGAAATGCCAGAGGCAAAAAGAAGGGGAAATGGGAGCAGCACACAGCTCTGCTGCAGCCCAGCAGCACTGATCCCAGAGGATGGCTGCAGTTGGCAGTGCCAGAAGCAGCCCTGAGGCTGTTCTAAGCCTCATCTCAGTGGAATCGCAGAGCCTCCTGCTCCATCCCAGATCATGCATCTCTCCCACTGCATCACCTGGTCAGAGCTCTGCTCACCTGAGGAGCAGGCTCAGAGTATCTACAGGAGTTTGTGTGTGGCCAAGCTGTTTGAAGTCTCTTAACAAGCTTTGGTAAAACTCTTTTTAAATTTTACTTAAAAAATAGCAGTTCCTAGGCGTCCTTTAGGTATTACCTCTGTAAAAGACTTGACACAAACTGGCTTGATATGATGCTGTTTTCTGAGCTCATCAACCCTGCCCTAGCAATTCTTCATGCTGAAGTGATAAAAGTTCATCTGCTGGGTAGCAAAATCGTCAACTGCCTCTCCTTACAGCCCACTTGTAAGCCACTAGAGAAGGCACCAAATCTACAGCTCCAGACACAGCAGGCCCTGAGCTCACAAGCAGCCTGTAACAACAGCACAACATGCCAAGGAGCATCAGAAAGCCACAGGGTGGCCTCCGAGCAGGTGCTGTGGGGCAGCTCTTTGAAGGAGCTATTTCTGAGAACAGACTCCAGTAAAAGCCTTGGTTTGTGGCCTGCCAACCAAAATAAATGCAAACAAATCTATCAGATTTATGACACAGTAAAGCCCTCATAAGGGATGGTTAACTGGAAAGAGTCTCAAGTCTGGCTTTTATTTTTAACCCAGTCTTCCCAGTGGAGGAGAAACAAGCCCACCCAAGAGCCTAGTTTTCCTCTGTGAGGCTAGGCTGTGGCATGCTTTCCCCCCCAGCAGCCATGACTGTTCACACACTACATTGCTGACATTTTCTGTAATTAGGCAGGAGCTCACTTCCCCTTCAGCTACAGAAGACAGGCAACACACAAACACAAAGTGGTGCTGCAAGAGCAGATTTGCTTTTGGAGCCCTGAATCAAGAAATCCCTTGCTAGACAGCCACCTAGCGTTAAGTGCCACTGCTCTCTAGTTACCACAAAAGCCAGAGGTGTAAAGGTTTGAGAGAAAACAAAGGAAAAAAAAAATCCTTCTATTTTTAAGTCTGCAGAGCTAAACCAAAATCATCTTTGAAGCCAGCAGCTATTTAGTGATACAGTTTGCAAAATTCTATTGTGGACTTCATGTCTTCAGAGAGATAAAAGTTCATATTGATAAATTAACATTTTTATTAGCTGTATGAAAACCACTTTGAGGTCTTCAAACACAAATGTGCAATTGTACATGGCTGTTCCTCCAAAAGCCCTCCCTCTGACACTAAGAACCCTCCTGTGCCCACATGCTCTTCCACAAACAGACTCACACTGCAAACAAGGGTCCAGGGTCCACACAGGTTAAGGACAGCACCTGGCTCCAAGCACACACTGCAAAAGCCAGCTCCAGAGAGTCAAAACCAAAAAAACTAGCCTGCCTTTCTCTAACAGTGAGCTGAATTTAAATTTATCAAGTGAATTTCCCAGAACAACAAAAGGCAAACCATAGTTCTCCAGCTCTGCTGTAAATTGAGAGACTCACACCTCCCATGCTAGTGTCTCCTCAGGCAGACCCACCACTACACCTATGGGATTCTGCACATGCAATAGCTCAGGTGATGTGGTGCAAGCCTACACATCACCACACTGAAGATGGCCCCAGGCTGTGTTTCTGTGCTTTCTCTGGGTAATAGGGCCCTGGGTCTATGTGAATACTGCCAAAAGTATAACCTGGAAAATACCACCTTCAGAGACAACAATGCTCGAGAAGAGGCCTGACCACAAAGAGGAAGCTTTGGCCTCACTGCCTGGATCACAGATTTCCTGACAGTTTCAGAAATGTGCATCAGAAGTGCTCCTGCTGCAGCCCTACAGTTCATGGTCCTCCTCACATCCTGCACTATCCTGGTCAGGGCTGTTGTCCCTGTAGTCATTCCTCCTTAGAGCTTGCAGCACTGCCACTGCTCACTTTCTGTTGCCCCCCATGAGAAGAAAAGAAATTAAAATAGAGGAGGGGAAGCTTGTCTCTCCAGATCACAAAAACCCACGGCCCCACATCCTAGGTAGCAGGACAACTGCTTTATTTTCAAATACTATGAAGAGGCTGCAAGCAAGCTTGCCACAGAATATCCTACTGGTACCCCAAAGAAAATACAGAGAGGAATGTCCTCTGGGGGGGTAACAGGTTGGCTGCTCCTGTGGAGCCACACTGGAATGGGAACTGTCTTGGGAAAGTCTGTCTGAACACTGCTGGTAATTCAGCTGATGGCAGCCACGGTGTAGAGAATAGAGATGGAATCTGTTCACAGGTCTCCTGCCACACCACTGCATGATCCTGGCACACTGTCATCATTTCACATGGGAACGATCCGCTTCTTTCAACCACTTCCACACTCCTACAGTTTTTAACCACTCTTCTAGTTGTGTCAGTTCAAATCCGTGTCAAATGCATCTCCAGGCCAGACAAAGAACTGAAGATGCTTTTGCATCTTCATATGATTTTGCTTTTTTTTTTATGGGCTTTTTTGTCATGTCCAGAACACTACCCCAGTGAGGACCACAAAATGGCTGAGCTGAAGAAGCAATCATCCCTAGGGGATAGGATAGGCAGCATTAGCAGAACCTCTCACATGTGTCCAGCTGCCAGCAGAATAACACAGTTTAAGTTTCACAAAGTCGAGTCTTTAAAACTTAACACAGAAGAATTTGCCCAAACACAAGTTACAGTACCATGAAGTGGCACGGCCAGCTTCCCATGCTCCAATAAACACACCAATGCATCCCAGAATGACTACCAGGTACAACACCCAACCACTAGGTGATTTAATCTGAAGACAACATAACAGAAATAGCTAAGGACTCAAAACATGTCTGTGGTCTACAAGCCCTTCAGACCATATCTACAATGGTCTGTCTTCATAAAGAGTGGCACTAGAATTTTCTTCCTTCCACAAAGTGGACATGGCAGTCCCCTGCAAGTTCTTTCCCTCAGGACTCCCTCTTTCCATGTGACCTGGTGTTGACAAACAGATGGCAGTGCTGTGACCTTGCTGCCCACTGGACAATGTTTTCTCCTAGCTGCAATAGTACTTGATTGATTCACCTCATCTGTTAATATTTCACTGACTGACAAACTTTTCTCAATTAAAGGATAAAGTAACCAAAAAAACACACCTTAAAAGTAGTAACTGAAAAGACTTTGCAGTTGATTCATGTTCAGAAACACTCCCTTTCTACAACAGGCAATTCAGTTGAAAATTCCTAGAAA